GAATTAAAAGTTCTTAATACATAGATTAAGTCTACAAAGTTTAAAAAAAAAATTTAAAAACTATTTGATACTCTATTTCATTAATTCTAATCAACATATAAAATGTTTTTATGATTAAACATTAATTTGAATTAATGAAATTGAATATCAAATAATTTTTAATTTTTTTTAAACTTTGTATATTTGATCTATGCATAAAGAATTCTTAATTTAATAGTTGGATTGTTAAAATTTAATGTAAAATATAAGTTATTGAATAGTGTAAATTTAGACAATCTTGTTTAAAATTAATAAAATATAATTTTTAAAATATTTAATATAAATACATATTTAAGGTTCAAATACAAAACTATATATTAAATTGGAACAATGCATGACAATCTAACCCGCTCCCGTGAGTACCTGCCCGAACATGCCCCAATTTAGACAGAGAAAACCCGTGTTTATCGGGTTCGGATTTTTTCCGATTAATAAAATCGGGGGCGGAGGCATGGATGAGGATGTTAACACCCGCCCCACCCCCGCCCCGCTTAATAATATAATTAAAAAAGTATATATATATATATATATAAATCAAAATAAGAAATATTTATATGTAAATTTTTTATTATTTTACTTTTCTTTTAAATTTTTTTAAATTTTTTCATATTTATTTTAAATAAAAAAAGAAAAAAAAGTAGGAGCGGGGACAGGGGTGGGGAGGGAAAACTCGAACCCCGCCAGAGACGAAAATAAGTACTCAAATTTTACTCCTAATGAATATCGGGAGCGAAGCCAGTTTAAATCTGCAGGGCGAGGGCGAGAACGTAAAACCCGCCCCGCCCCGTTGCCATGCCTATCAACAATTCCATCTCAATGATCTAGATGGTAAAATAGAGATCCTAATATGTGACATGAAGTTGTCCATGCCAAAACTTGCAACAACTAAAGAAAACATTGAGGACGCGTGACTTTTCATAATTTAACTAATTAACTCATGTATGTTAACAAACGGAACTAGAAATTTTAAATATTAACGAATATATATATATATATAAATTAATATTTTAGTTATAATATATGATAATAAACTATTTTTATATAATTCAAATTTATCAAATAAATTTAATGTTTAAATTGTATTATAACTAAGATGCATAATAAATAAACATATTTAAATACATAAACTAAAATTTGAATTTATAATCAATAATTTAAGTTTTGATATAAGAATATTTTCAATTATCGTAATTTCTTGCAAAAACTACTAAAATTTAATTAAAAGTTAGAGATAAAATATAGTAGATTGAAATAATAGATAATTAAAAAAATTATTTATTCACATAATGATAAAAAAAATATAATTGAATATAATTGAGAGAGAATTTTTTAGTTATAAAAATAATGTATTAAATTCATATTCAAATAAGAGAGAAATAATAATAATAATAAGAATATCTAATTAAGAGGATGAAAATAACCAAATTACAATAAATTATTGAGAAAAATATTTATAATATGAATTATTTTTTTTACCATATTTTAAGTTATTTATAATTTATAATTATAAATATATTGTATTTACAAATGATAAAAAGGAATAGCAGGGGCAGCTGTCCCTAATCTCTTATTTTTATACGTGGATCATTGCTGACAACAAGTCATTCATTTAAGTAAAGTTAGAATTGATTTTTTTAAAAATAAAGTCTCAAATTTAAATTTTATAAATTAAAAAAAAAGACCACTAAAAGTAATTAACTAAGCTAAAGCTAGATTATAACTACTGACTGGAACACAAAAAATACTCACAACACAGCACAACATGAAAAGTGTTGGAAGGTATAAGAAATTAAGGAAAATTAGTTCGAATATTACAATTATGAGTACAATATTGTGCAATAGATTACATTGCATTTAGGCATGTGTTTGACAACAGCTTTTCTGTAAAATTTTCCAAAAACTTTTTCAGATGGTAAAATAAACAACTATTTTTCCAAAGCCAAACACAGACAAGGGTCATTGCCTAATGGATCAACTCCAGCACGGCTAAAGGACCTTTCCAAAACAGAAAGAGACACCCCATAGAATTGGGAGAGAACTTTCTCCCTTCCTCAAACTAGTTTGAATAGTAATACAACAGTGCCAACCAAACAATAAACATTTAACTAGCCGTTGTTTTTTCTGATCTGACATTGGAAAATGAGCATAACATTAAATTCAAGAGTCAAAAGATAATATGAAATTTAAACTCTGGCTTTGGGTAGTATCCCAGCCAATAAGATGCAAGTTATTGTTAACGAGATGGGAGACCAAAACCTGGATGCAGCTTCTCAGGCCAATTCCAACAGCCTTTTAACTCTAAGAATTTGCTGATTATGTTTTGACTGCTGCATGTTCGAAGACTATCATTTGTGCAAATCAGCCACGTGGCATAACCTCATTAGAGTGGCCACTTGGAAAGGGCTCAACCACGTGAGTGACAACCATGTCCTTATGCTTGCTCAAAGTTAAAAATATTTTCCAACCCTGTCACTCTTGGCGTTTAGCCTAGTCATGTTACCAATCTTACTAGTCTTGGAGAATAGTCCAACTCTATGTAATGTAATGTAACTTCTCCTGTATTCAAAGTACTAGAATAAATGAATAAGTCGATAACACATGTTAACTGAAATCATAGGCCATTTGCAAATAATTGATTATGATTAAACATTTTAAATAACTTATGTTTTGTAGAGGGTGCATTTGTTTCATTTTCTCCCTATGATTGGCAAAACACAAGGTGGGGCACAAAGTCATTGAGTCTCTCTCAAGGAAAGTTTAGATAATAAATTAAGATACAAACATTTGTATGAGTTGGTGAAAGCCAGAGTTGGTCTAGCTTAGGAAGTGAAAGGTTCTGCGAGAAACCACGTGATTCCTTACAGTACACAGCATGAGGAGGTAGTGAGTGAGTGAGTGACTAGGAGGAACAAACACAGGGAAGCATATTCAAATGCCTCATTATGACCAGTTAATGCGATCACCCCATTTTCGATATGGACATTATGCATGATTTAGTGGCTCCAATTAGCAAATTTCTTAATCCACATTCTCAGATTTTCTTTATCAGTAAATTCATTTAAAGTGGCAGCCTATTTCAACTGCCCCAAGTTTCATTTGAAATCAAATTAACAGAGCTTTTGTTGTGAAATTGAAAGGCAATATCCCGGGTCACGTGGTCACTTTGATCCGTCAGTATCGCCAGCTCATTCCGTGCTTTTTACTTTTGGAGTCAAAGCATGGTCAAATGGCATAGCTGTGCATGCATGCTGGCCCTCTCTGTAAGCTGTAACTCTGCCACTGTGCCTCTGAGTCACTGTGTTGTGAGGCCTTAAAACTTAGCTCAAAACATTCAAAGCATTTAACCCTCCACAAACCCTCAATGCTGTCCCTTTCTCTACCACATATGGTAACTGTTTTCATGTTCCCATCTCTAAAACCTCCCATTTTCAACACACTCATTTATGTTTTCACCCTTCAATATTAACATGCCCACCACATTTTTAAGTTTTTCACTGCTTCGAGTGGACCACTTTTATTTATTATTTATTATTTATTTGCAGAAAGAATAATTTTGCACCTCTCTCTGTCATATGAAGAGAACAAGAGACATGTTAAACTGCATCCAGAAAAGACACGTTAATTAATAATATTTGTTTAGGCATTGACCGCCACCACCACCTCGCCAATGGGATTATAGAATCATGGTAATTTTTTATTATCAAAGCTGTTCACAAAAAAGAAAATGGAAGTGTGTGTTTTGTTATTATGCTTGTGCATTGGATGTTGAGATGACATGGTTAGAAGTGCAAGTTCTTAGAATCTTCCCAAAACTTTGTTTATCATTTAATAAACATGAAGCGAAAGGGATTGGCCTAAAAAGGCAATCTTTGCATCAGTTACCCGTGTGGTAAAAGAAAGAAAGAAAAGAAAATGACCTCTGTTGGCAGTTTCAGCGGCTTCACTTACTCCCAAAGAGTGAGCTGGTGTTATTCGATAGACAGTACATTCCTTCAATTGAACGCTAAATTAACATTTTGTGACAACACACAACGGTTCCATTTATGTATGTTTAATTTTATACCATTTCATTTTTTCATCAATTATAGCATTTCATGTCAAGCATATCACAATCTTTATTAAATTTTAAAGATGTACACTTCCTCACATGTTTACTTTAACAAAATCAATTCAAAAGAACACTGTTTCTTCCGTAGTGCATCATTTCATGGCATAAAATGTTTCTTTTAAGAGTGAAACATTTGAGAGAAAAATCTTATTAGATATTTACTAAACATAACTGGAGTCGAAATACTTCGTTATTTTTAATTATTTTCTATAAAAAAAATGATTTTGAGAACAATTGTTTATCAATTATAATGACAGAAGATGAAAGTTTTGTAGTTTGATGAAAGAAAAGGTATATATATATATATATATATATATATAAAGAAAGAAAAAAAAAAGACAATTACATGAATAATGAGTGTTTTCATTTGCAATAGAAATAAAAATGTAGTGTAGTTAGTTTATGAAAATTTTTATTTGGAGGATAAAATAGTCCCATTAAAGATGGACATTAAAAATAATTGAAAGAGAAGGAATTTCCTTTATCTATTGTTATAGATAATTATATAATGACAAAACTTAAATGCAATTTAAAAAAAAAAATTAATCCAGGTTTTTAATTTAGAATTTCATCTCACTAATTCATGTAATAAAAAATTGTTTTAACGGTCGACACGTTTCTTAAGTAAAACTCTAATTTTGATTAAATAACAAATTATATCAAAAATTTGTTAATGGATAGTTTTAAATCTTCTTACAACATTCTTTTGTATGATAAGTGCCAAATGCAATTTATCTTTTTAAAATATCAAATACATTTGCTTTTTTGTTTTCAATATTTTGTTTATAAGGTAGAAGGAAAATTTGTAACACAATATAACATTACTCTATATAAATACAAACATGTGAGAGTGGGTTGTAAGATGTAACAGTAAGAGGGAGTAAGGGGTCCCAACTCCCAAGTAGAATTTAATAGGCTCATTGGTCGTGCTAGCTCCTCCTACATCGATCCATTTTGCACTCTTATAATAATTTCCATGTTGTTATTCTCCGTCTCATGGCATGCTTAGAGATGTACAACTCGGAGCACAAGGGTCACCATCACCATCATCACTCAGTAGTGAGCCCCAGAATCTCATTCTCGAACGACTTTGTGGATGCTCAACAAGCCACAAAGCAGGAACAAACCAGATCAGAGGCTCCTGCAGCAGTGTCCTCAGACTTTGAGTTTTCTGTCACCAACTACTCCATGATGAGTGCTGATGAGCTTTTCTTCAAGGGGAGGTTGTTGCCCTTCAAGGACACCAAGAGAGCCACCACCACTCTCAGGGAAGAGCTCCTTGTGGATGATGATGATGATGATGATGAAGGGTACCAAGGATTTTCTCTTAGGCCTCCCAAAGGGTCCTCCACTAGGTGGAAAGGCTTTCTTGGCCTCAGAAAAAGTCACCTTGGTTCCAAGAAGGTTGAGAAGAATGAAGGATGTTCTGACACTGGAATTGAAACCAGAAGGGCTGCTTTTTTCAATGAGGGAGCTAGGCTTAATGTGAATTCACAGGTTAGACATCAACCCTCTTTTTCTTTTTTCATCTCAAATTTTGTTTAGTACTATTATGCTGTTACTGCAAACGAGTAAGATGGCATATTCAATTGTGATATAACATAGAGTATATATGTAGAGAATAATTAGGCACAAATCCACTTTTTTTTTTTTTTTTTTAACTTTTTATTGAACCTAAGACCTAGTGTACCAAAACTCTTCTTCTGACTATTTATGTTTTTACGTGTGCTTGATTTAATTTAGTTCTTTTATTTTGTTGGTATGATGCAGGAGCTGTTGAATGAAGGAGGATCAGGTTGCAGGGATGTTGAGATTGGGTTACAGAGTTAACTGGGGAAGGTATTGAATTTTTTCGAGAAATGGGGCATTTGTTTATTTACTTGTTCAGTTATTTTTAATGATTTTGTTTTGTTCTCCCTTTGTAGGGTGACGGGGCATATTTTCTTTTTTCCCTTCAGCGGGTTAGGAACCAAGGCGGTGAATTTATGTTATTAGGCTTTTGTTTGTCAACTTTGATTCTTCTATAATTCTCTGATTTTTGGTCCACCTAGTGATTAGGATTTCACTGTTTGTTGTACAAATTATTTGCAGTTGAATTGAAAAAGCCCGCAAAAAAGAATTCAATTTTCTTTGTTCAAATTTTAGTATTGTAAGCTCGAATCTATTATGTTTCACTCTTGGTTAAAACCTCCCACTCTATGCACAAAACGGATCAAGGAGAGTTGTATTGTAGGGTGTAAATTGTTTGTATATCCCGCTACATGAATTCATTTTTTTTACTTAATTAATCCAGATCTAACATGATTTTTAAACTATAATCTTCAGATCTCTTGCAAACAACACGTACCTAATCAATGTTACTAACTTCTCTTCTAATATTGTTGGCATAAGAATCATAGCATCATGATTTTTTGTTGTTGCAATTTAACTTAGCTATAAATAGGTGATATATTGTATTGTATTGAGAACACTGAACACGATTCAGAGTTTTCTTTGTCTCTTCTTCATGGTAATGGTATCATGAGCCCTAGTTCATGTTCTCATCTCCATTTTCATTTTTCAGTGACCACTTTTTAAGCTATGAATAGCATTTTGTTTCTTCCATCAGGCAACCTTTGTTCTTGGGGTTGATTTGTAAGGTAGTGAAATTTGACGACAATGCCCCTCCCCACGCGCCTCCACTGCGTGTGCTACACACGCACACACGCGTGCATGACACTATAATCTCCTCCTTTGTCTCGAATATTTTGAGATATTTCAAAAGGTTAATTTATTGAAGAAATTATTTTGAGTTTAAATTTAAGTTTCAAATCATTATTTTATTAATTACAGATTTTAAAAATTATTATTGATTTTAATGAGGTATAATGACCCGACTGTTGTAGTTTTAATCAATTTAAATTATTAAAACATTTTAAAATTAATTAATTTTAATTATGATGAATAATTTTAGTCACCCACTTAGTATTCCTTTCTATAAATATAAAGAATTAGTATGAGTAGAGACACTCAACATTGCTCTTTTCTCTCTATCCTTAAATTTTCCTTTTTCTAGGTTAAGAATTAATCAATTTCATATTCTCGGTCTAGTATTTATTAAATCTTTTTGTATCTTGAGGGACATGTATGAAAGTCTACGAATAAGTCCTTTATCATCTTAGTCTAGTATGAGAGTTTACGAATAAGTTTTTTTAGTACCTTAGTCTAGTACTAATTAAAAAAATCTTTTTGTATCCTAAGGGACATGCATGAAAGTTTATGGATAAATTTTATAGGATAGTGCATGTAACATGTATGGGAGTAATACATACAAATAAGTCCTTAAAAAGTTTGCATATTTATTTTGAATTACTCTTTTAGCATATTTTTTTCTCAATATCTAAAGAACCTACATAAATCAATGTAACTAAATAATAAAAAAAAATCTCAAATTACGATTGATTTGATTCTTTTTGCGGCAAATAATGTTAAGTTAAATACTCTTATATTTAAATATAATAAAAAATAATAGTATTATGTTTATATTTTTAAGAAACAAAATGTAATTTATTTCATATTTTAATATATGAAGGGGACAATGTAATATTTGTATCTCTTATAAGAGAAGAGTGAAATTTGCATTAATGATGTAAAGTTAAATCAACTAGATAATTGTTGTTGTATATTTTGAGATATTTCAAAAGGTTAATTTATTGAAGAAATTATTTTGAGTTTAAATTTAAGTTTCAAATCATTATTTTATTAATTACAGATTTTAAAAATTATTATTGATTTTAATGAGGTATAATGACCCGACTGTTGTAGTTTTAATCAATTTAAATTATTAAAACATTTTAAAATTAATTAATTTTAATTATGATGAATAATTTTAGTCACCCACTTAGTATTCCTTTCTATAAATATAAAGAATTAGTATGAGTAGAGACACTCAACATTGCTCTTTTCTCTCTATCCTTAAATTTTCCTTTTTCTAGGTTAAGAATTAATCAATTTCATATTCTCGGTCTAGTATTTATTAAATCTTTTTGTATCTTGAGGGACATGTATGAAAGTCTACGAATAAGTCCTTTATCATCTTAGTCTAGTATGAGAGTTTACGAATAAGTTTTTTTAGTACCTTAGTCTAGTACTAATTAAAAAAATCTTTTTGTATCCTAAGGGACATGCATGAAAGTTTATGGATAAATTTTATAGGATAGTGCATGTAACATGTATGGGAGTAATACATACAAATAAGTCCTTTAACACCTTAATTAAATACTGAGAAGATATTTTTGTATCCTAAAGGACATGCATAAGAATTTGTGGATAAATCTTTTAGAACAATGCATGAAATATGTACGAGAGTGTGGATAAATATCTTAGGATAGTGCTTTCAACGTTTGTGGACAACAATCAAAAAGAAGTTATCGTTGTTCATTGCAATTTGTTTTGACATTTTGTTCAAACAAAATCATTTTAGATGTTTTGGATCTAGTGGTGTAAGTGCTGACTTAGGGACTGCAAATTAAAGAGAAAACAACGCTGCGCTGCTGTGACTGTGACTGTTGTAGGTGAGGAAATTAAGATTGTAACTAACACATTATAAAAACATGTACAAGGTTATAATATTTGAACAAAGAAATCTGGTATATATATATATATATATCTATTAGCCCCATTTAGGTAAATAACTTGGTCAACGACCCCACTTTAGTCAAAAAGCCTTGTCTCGATCCAGACTAGTGATTGACCCATGTTTTAGATCCCAGTTTTAGTTGACTGACGTGGCTCCACTTGCTGACGTGTCTTGCTGACATGGCGTGCACTGCAGTCCTATCCCCAAGTTCTTCAACGTGCTCTTTCAATTATTGCAGTCAGTCTTGCAAATTCTACTTGGATTGGAATTACAATTTTGCTATCATGGAAAAATCCAATTCTGCATTTCCTGATCCAATCATACTTGCGGGTCTAATTACAATCATTGGCCACAATCCAGGCCCTACAAAGATTGAAGCCAATAAAAGACAGGAATAATTTATAATTTATATAATAAATTAGAATACATAATTTGAAAAAAATAAGTTTTTTTAAAATTTTTTTAATTAGAAATTAATTTTTAATATTTATCCTACTCTCCGCATATTTTCCACATTGTTTCATAAATAGACAAAAAAATCTCAATTATCCTAATTTACTGTCATTTTATAGTGTATATGTCATCTTAATCATTTATGACTTTTAATATAAGTTTCTGGTTTAAATATATTTTCAGTTTCTATAAAATAAGTCTGATTTTGATTCTTGTAATTTTTTTTTTAATTTTTCATCTCTTTAAAATTTATAAATATTATTTTTAATTCTTATAAAATGAGTAAATTTTGATTTTCATTTTAGTAAAATATTTTTCTTTGATTTTTATCCTAAAATTTAAAGTTACTATTTTTTGTTTCTAATGATCATTTTAATATATATATATATATATA